CAGTTATTATAATAACTGAATAAGACGTAATAGCACCAGCATGCCTGCCTACATTTCCCAAGACGGCTGTCATTTGAACTACATTTTGACCCACAATCCTCTGAAAGCGGATGTAGAAAAATGTATTATTTAAAAGGCATGGGGGATGCAGGAATGGTTTAATCATATATGTAACTAGATTCGGTGCTTCGCGTCGGGATATTTCTATCTGTTGTACGAATTTAGTACAAGTATACATTGTCTTTACAAATACGATTTAAACATACGGATTGTCGCGCGTTTATGTTTGTGGTAGATATGTAACCTCCCCTCTATGAGTGGATATGTGACGTTTCCGATAGTAACCTTCACATAACACATGGTTAGGCATTATCGTTGCATTTAATATGGTTTTATAAGTATTTCTTGGAAGAGGACAGTAATTTCTATATTAATACGATTTATACAAGCTACCCAGAATAACTATGTATAATGTATGTAGTAGATTGTCCTCATTAGCAAAGGGAGCTTTCCTGAATTATGCCGATCCTCTGTACGCAGCTAGTTTACCACTGTAAGTTGACCAAGTCTGATGGGGGTACATCAACTCCGCATTGCTTTGTGTCGCATAGCAGTTTCGGCACATATTGTGTCTCTGTTTTCAATAACCGTTAATGTTTCTGCCTAGATTTTTAAGATGTAATCCAGTTTGCATATTGGTAGCTAATTGTACCTGTTTGTAGGCTTTTTGGTTTAGACTGTTTCGGCTATTTTGTGGAGGAGTTGCTTTGGCTTTTTGGCTTTATTGCCTTTATGTTTGCCTTTACAGGAATTCTGCATTCTGCCGTGCCTTGAGTTGCACTGCCGCAAGATGGCAGGAATCGGCGCCCACCGCGGACCCCTCCGAAAAGACCAACAAAGAGTTCAGGTGATCGCGCTGCATTGGTGTAAAAGTCCCCTTTAACCTCACGGCTGCTGTTCTGCCGTTATAATAAGTTGTAACCTTCTTGGAGCAGAGTTCTCATTTATCGTGTTGTCTTTACAGCTTCTATCCCCCAATGCCTGGTCATGAAAGCTCCTTGAGGTGGGGGGGGAAGAAATTTGAGGAATTACCTATCGTGCACATAAAAGCCACATACAATAAGTACGTTACTCCATTATGCCCATCCTGTATGGTGTCTCTTTTAACACCTAAATGAATGGCGTTAAGATTCTTGTTTCTCAGCACACACATCCAGGTGACCGACAACACTGGGAAGTCCATGATCAGAACATCCTGTGGTGCAGAAGGATTCAAGAATGTAAAGAAATCGACTCCCATTGCGGCTCAGACAGCTGGTATCTCTGCTGCGGCGGTAAGGGCACCATCACTCGATAGAACATAAAATTTGGGTGCCAACAAACTATCAGATAAATGCAGCATGGTGACGTTAATATTGTGTTCGGGTGTAGAGTTCCTGTATTCGGTTCCTGTATTTTTTTTTTAGTCCCTGTAGTAAAGGTCTGTACCTTGACTGCTGATTCTTCATCTTTTCTCCTTTAGAGCTTCCCAGCAATTATAGTTATGTATATACAGTTATGTAGCTGTAATAGAAAAGGGTTACACCGCATGAGAAAACACTCTAGTAATTTAAAAACACTCTAGTAAGGGATTTAAAAAAAAAAAAAAAAAATTTCAGCTCTGGAAGGTATGTGTAAATCACCTGCCAAATTAAAACAAACATGGTAATGCAAAAGCTTTTGTGGACGTTTGTTGAAATTAAATGCAGGTGCTCTTAGTTCAGTTGCCTGTAGTGTCTGCTTTTCAATCTATACATTTTTGTTTGCTTCGATGAATTTCCATCCCAAACTGGGATATATCGCCCTCTTGTGTCTTGTACCATGTGGGAAAGGCTCTGAGCCGCCTCCAGTAGTCAATGCTAATGGTTGATTCTGTAGTTCAGTGTAGTGTAATTGTTGAAGTAAGTAAATGTAAAATTTCAAGGGATTCGGGAGTCCTGAAGGGACTTCCACCTTCCAGGCTTCCACCACCGAGGCCTGACATTGGGAAACTGGAGACATGATTGTGGTTTTCCCCCTTCAGAGGAGCCCATGCCAGTTTGCTTTCGTCAGGTCCTGTAGCTGGGATGGAGCTGTGCTTCATAACAGCATGTATGTAATTGAAATAGTTGATCAATTAATTGTTGCAGAACCAAAATTAAATCGAGGAATGAATGAGTTATCAAATTGAAATAATAAAACATTTTTCAGCTGAGTCATATTGAGATGAATAAAGAAATATCGCATGATTAAATTACATCTGTAGCGCTTACAGTTTTATTGAAAAGCAAATAAGAGTCACTCATCAAACAAATTAGAGTTGACAGTCCAATGAAAAAACATTAAGATAATTAGTGGTATTCCACTAGGTGGCAGCACCAATGCATGATTTGAATAGTTACCAACAGTTTATCAGGGTCATGGGGGCGGGGCCTGGAGCCTTTCCCAGTCAGCATGGGGTAGGGATACACCCTGGATGGGATGAATGATTTTTGATTTTGTTATTCTCTGCGTTTGCAGTTTGGCTGCTGGTGTTTCCTGCAGTATTGCATTTTTTATTCGTGACTGCAGTTGTTGTAAATGCAGGCATTCACACGCTTAAGCATAACGCAGTCTAATGTGGTGTAGAGCTGGTGCTGCCCCCCCCCCTCCATAACCTGTGAAATAGATCTTTTGGCGAGAGCGTGTACTGGTGGAGTAGCATGTCACAAGCTGTGTTTGTGGGTTTCTGGACATTGCTGTCTGCTGCAAAGCTGAGCGGGGGAACATGTTTGTTTGGCCCCAGCTGATGGTGACTCGTCTCTCTCCATGGTCCCTGCTCTAATAAAGCCAGTGTAATTATGTGCCCCAGTGAGCCGGCCAGTGAGCCTGCATGTCCTCACTGGGCTGCTAAATGCCCCTTCACTACGCTTCACTTCTGCAGTCTTCGTTATTATTTAAAGGGGGAACATTTTCACTCATGTATAAACTTTCTTACTAAGTTGCTTCCTCATTTCCTTGTCAGTTTTCTATAGTAATATAGGGTGAGCCTGATTGGTCACAGGATCAGGTGCGCACTGTCCTGCAGAAGGTTGACCGTTTGCCATGTGTTTCTGTGACACTGTCATCTGATTGGGTCCCAGCATGTGATTGTCTGGGTGGCGAATGTGTTCACTGATCCTCCCTCTGTGTCTCTCTTCTGTTCCTTCCTGGGCCAGAAGGCGCAGGGGAAGGGTGTGTCCTACGTGCGCGTGGTCGTCAAGGGCCTGGGACAAGGCCGCGTGGTGAGTAACCGGAGAACTAGCCCCGCCCACACCACGCCGACGATCAGAGCCCCCCTCCACCTCAGACGCAGCCGGCATCAGCCGCTCCTGCTCCCCCCAGCTGAGCTCGATGCTCACGTCCGTCCCATAATGTCCCTTTGATTTGGGCCATTTAACCTTTCAGTGGTGATTTGTTCTTGGGAATTCGGAGAAACATGTGCAGATTAACACGCACGTGCAGACGCATTACCGCATCAGCCATGATGAGAATGTGGGTATAATGGGGATAAGGACACCGAGGTCCCTTTTACAGCATCAGCTGGCCTTGATGAGCCGTGACAAGCAGCAGTAGTGAAATGAACACAGGAGTATGGATATATCACTGATCTATAACCTTCCTCATAGGGAGGCCTGAACACGTATGTTTGCATTGCTTGTGAAATGGGAGAATTTATAGCAGGTTTGTTGTGAAGTTTGCTGGAGGTAAACAGTGGCAGCTGGTTCCATCTGAAGAGCTCACTTCTGCTTAGACAAACTGTCTGTTAGGGGCCCCCGCGGGTGTGTAATGGCGAAGGCGGAGACCCCTGCCAGAGGAGTAACATGGGGTTATGGGCAACCAAGGGGGCGCTGACTTCCCGCCCATTCCTGATAGCCCAGGCGTCCAGGGTTTAGAGACACAAAATGATTCAGGGCAAAATGATTCAGCAGAGAAGAGCAGCCAGATTATAACTACAAAAATAAAACAATTCAGAAATGCTAAGACTATGGTTTGCAGGGGGGGG